TATAACATATATATATAATACAAAGAAAGAGAGTTGGGGGAACTGAAGACAATGATGAAGTAGATGTTGGACCCACCCAGATCCACAAAAAAGCCAGAGAGTCTTCCCAGGATGTCCATACATATATCAGAAGCAGGTCACACCCCTGAGGAAACTCCTTTCAACTGAGTGGCTGGCTGCTCATAAAACATCTCTTCATGGAGGTGATTAAATCACAACTGCTTAAACCACTTAGAATCACTGTCAAGCCAAGTTGACACACAACTTTGTTACAGACGATGAATATCTTTTTTTTTTTCTTTCCTTTCAATTCTATAAATATAGATGTATGACTTATTTAGGAACTCTGGTGGTATAATAATTAAGAGCATAGCTCCTAACAAAAAGATCTGCAGTTTTAACCCACCAGTGGTTGACTGGGAGAAAGGCCTCGTGGTCTGTCCCGATAAAGGTAAGGATTACAGCCTGGTAAATCCTGTGGGGAAGTTCTGCTTCGTCACATGGGGTCACTATGAGTCAAAAATCACCTTCATTGAAGACAGCAACAAGAAGAGGACTTTATAAACTCATTTAAAAAGTCTTCGTGAGAGTATATAGACACACTTTATAAAGTGCTGCCTGGAAAATCCCACCCCCTGTGAACAGCCCAGAGTTGTAAAAGGCATATATATGAAGAGATGGATGTTCCTGGTGTGTCAGTTGTTAATCATCACTGTCTCATGTTAATAGCATCTTTAGAAGTGTTTTAAAACCATATTTTACAATGTAAAATTGTCTTCATTTTACCTGAGCAAGTCATCTCAAAAAGGAGGAATAAAGATTACATTAAAAAACAAATGGGACCAACTAGAACATGGGTCCAGATCACCTTTGGAACTTTGAGGTGTTTCATTCTTTATAGATAATTCCCTGAGCTTTCTGAGCTGCAAAATAATCTCTAAGACCACCTGCTGTTGTCCATTACCGAAACACACAAGGAAACTGGGCAAGAAAATGGGTACAAGTTCACCAAGTTTGCAAATGTGAGATAATCAGAACTGGTATTTTCAGGCTTTCCTTTTTCTACACCCCAGATCCCATGAAGAAAATGAATTATATCCACTTTCAGTATTCTCTTTCCATGTGTGACAGGATTCATGTTTTAAGATGGGGAGTATACTTGCAGAAATCAGCTACAGGATGAAGGAAGTTTCAGAAACAGTTTTTCTCTTTCCAAAATTTGACATGTGTACTGCCTAAAAAAAAATCAGGGTGCTTAGAATCCCAAGAGGAGGAGGAGAAGTGATAAGTAATACTGAGAAGGGACATGAAAGACCATAAAAGAACAAACCACGGTCTAGTTTTGATGGTGGTTGGGTGTTGATTACCTCCAGTTCAGAGTTTCCAATTTAGGAAGGTGAGGCTGGACAGAGATGTGTGGGCAGGGTCTGCTTCTGATGCTTATATTTAAAAAGTCTATTGTTGATGTAGAAGTAAGCCCCATTATCCACAAATTGATTAAATTTGCTTATTGAGACAAAATGCTATGTGGTTTCTTCAAAAGAGACAGACCTTTCAGGAGTTTGAACATGGATCGTAGTTATTTTGTTAACCCTTGTTTTATAATTTATCAGTAAAGGAAGAGTGGAGAACTATCCATCTAAGTCTGTAATATTATGTGTGTTTTGTCCTATATGCTATCCCTGGAAGGGAGTCTGACAGCAGACATAGGAGTTTGGCTTTGTGTGGAGAATCAGTTATGTGCTTTTCTTCATGTTCATTCTATCAAGCTTGATATTTTTATACAGCTCCTAGTAAGAAAAACAGGAGCTCTGGTAGCGTGATGCCTAAGGCACTTGACTACTAACCAGAAGGCTGGCAGCTCAAACCCACCAGCCACTCTTCGGAAGGAAGACAGGACAATCTACTTTCGTAGTGATACTACTCGGAAACCCAAGGAGGTGTTGTTATGAGTTGGAGACGACTTGATGGCAAATAACAACAACAACAACAGTAAGAAACAAAAACCCCAAACTCCTTGCCATCTTGTAAATTCCAACTTATGGTAAACTCATATGTTATAAAGTAGAACTGCTCCATATAATTTTCATGAATACAATCTTCACAGAAGCAGACTGTCATGAATTTTCTTCCATGACACAGCTAGGTGGGTTTGAACCACTGACATTTTAGTTTAGCAACTGATCACAAACTACTGATACCACCCAGAGGCATCCTGGCAAAGTCCTTCTCACTAAATATTTGGATGTTTTTAAAAAATTTAGGAGCATGACTGAAAATTTTCCCTTTCATAATTTGACCATGCTATTTTTGGATATGTTAGCTCACTAATGCTATGTTACAAGCTATTCTAAAGCTCATGGCTTGCACAAGAATCATTGAATTCTTGTTCATAGATCTGTAAGTCATGGGCCATTCATCTGATCTTGGCTGTCCTTAATGTCAGACTTCAGGTTGGGTTCAGGTATTCCCCACGTAACTATCATTTTCTCATACATAGAAGAGAAGTTTTATTTAATTTTCTGTTTTTCAGAGAATTTTACCTAATTTCCTGTTGGTCAGATTTCATTCAAAATTGGGTCACCACATAAGAATTGGAAACATCAAAATGAAGAATCTCTGCTCAGGTACTGTAAAAATAGTGAAATTTTAGAAACCCTGATATGTGAGAAATGTTCTAAAAGGTTGGATATCTTAAATGAGAAAAAGGACAACCAATGTTGGAACATCAAAGATATTTATACATTCAAATGATTATTCCACGGAACTGTGCTTAAAATATTTTGTGATGCTCCAGAAAACAGAACTATAATCAGTTCACAGACACAGAGAGATATATTTTCATTATCTTGTAAATGAAAAAGTTGGTCATTTATGTTCATCAATGAAGGCGCTAATCAAGGTTACATGTCCCTTCATATGATAGCACTGTTATAAAGCTGTTATAAAACATAAAAGAATTATGACAATATATCTATGAAATAAATGTTATTAATGACTTACCTTGCCACACCAAACCTGGGAAGAGTCTGAATTCACATCACTTTTGGTCATTTACTTCCAAAGAATGAAGAGGAGACTCTCTGAGCTCCTCTGGTAGGAACTGACCCTTAGAAAACTTTGTGAACAGGGGTAAGGTTATAAAGTCACTGGTGGATACTATAGTACAATTTCATGTTCTCTTACCCAAACTTTAAGAGTCACAAACCTGACAACTCCTACCTTCTTAAGGACCTCACATATGCAATATCAATACAATTATCCCTCAATTCCAAACAAGTATTGCTAAGTGAAAGAGTATTGTAAAGAAACTTGTTGAATGGATAATATTGATTTATTCCAAAATTTTGTAAATTCGGTGCAATTTTACCTCCTTTTGTAGTGGTTATCAGGGCAGAAGGGAAAATACATTCAAAACTAGGATTTTTGGATTAGATTCATTGACTAATAAAACTCTTAAGCCTAAGCTTCATTAAAGATCATCTAGTTTTAGTGTTCCCAAATCCAACTTACCTGACTACATTAAAATTACCAGAAGAGCTTTATAAAAATGTAGATTCTTATAAATCACTTACCCCTGGCCTACTGAATAAGACACTCTTAGAATAGGATTTCCTATCTGTTTGAAAATCTCTCAAAGTGATTTGAATCATCAGCCAAGCTTGATAAGCGTTCATTTAGTTCTCATGTTAAAACTGAGGAAGTGGAGGCCCACAGAGATGCAGTGAGTATATGTCTCATTTGGGACAATAACCAGGGATTTACATGATCCCAACACAAGAGTTTCTGGATTATAATTCCTAATTTAGATGTGCTGCTGCTTTTTTTTTAATCTTTCCTCTCTTCAATTTTGTGATTGTATCAACATCAGCAAGCATTTTTATGTACTAACTATGTATAGTCCTTAATGTGAGAACTCTTTACACACACACACACATACTCTGCAACCACAACAGGCATAAGAGATATACATAATATCCATCATGACTGGATAATCAAAATTGTGGAAATGGAAATGAAACAATAGTTGAGATAATTAGTGATATGTTCACCTTCAAATAAAATAAAATAAAATTTCAGGTTCCATCCCATGGTGAAGGAGAAACATTTTCTGAAAAGTTATCAGTTCACATGAGCAAGATATTTATTTGTTTGATGAGAATGAGTCTTTCTGGAATTCATGTATGGAACATCTCATTAGCTAAATCAGAAAACAGTGGAAAATGCCTCACTGTATTCTGTTAAGTTATTTTGTCAAAGGTGGAGGAAACAGATAAATTAAAACTGTTGTGTACACTGTTGACTGAACACAGTCACATCATCATCAAAGTGGCTTTGTTTCCATTCAGTTTATTCAGCTTTTTCTGTCAGTTGTTTCAAATGCAATCACAGATTCTAGAAGAGATTAGAGTCAGTTAACGTAGCATACCCAAGGGTTATTATAAATGAAATGTGGTCATTTTTTCAAACATCCTTATTATTCGGGTAAAGAAAGTTTAGTCCTACAGAAAAGAACAAATATTTTATTTCTCTTTTCCCAAGACCAGGGCTTGAGAATATGTATTTTTGTCTTTTAAGCTTGAGTTTTATCCCCTTTTCTCATTCTGAACACCTTTCTCCTCCTGTTCCAACCTTTCTAGGTTTTGTTTCACAAGAACCTGTCTTTGGGGGAGGATTTATATGAGCATGCATAACCTTGGATCCTTGTTAATGTTCTTGTTCTCTTTTTTCTTCCCTTTGTACAACATATGTGTATTGAGTATTTAATACTTAATATGTATCACAGTTCTGAACACTAATTGGACTTTCACTTTTTAAAGAAATTAGGTATAAATGAGAGGGAGAAAATAACATTTGTTTCTCCCAACAACCCTACAAATCAGTATTATTATCTTCACTGTATAGATGTATTAACCAAGATTGAAAAGACTAAAATCACCCAGCTTCTTATACCACAATATTTTCATTGCATTTTTCACTTCTGCATTTCTCAGTGTATAAATCAAAGGATTTAACATGGGGGTGATAATGGTGTAAAACACAGCCACCATTTTATCTGCAGCAAAGGTAACATCAGAGCGCATGTACATGAAAGTACAGGGACCAAAAAACATGACGACCACAGCGATGTGGGAGCTACAAGTGGAGAGAGCTTTGCGCCTGCCTTCTGCTGACTGCTTTCTCAGAAACAACAGGATGACAGAGTAGGAGATTAACAAGGTAACAAAGCTCCCCAGAGCAATGGTCCCACTGTTGGCTGTCACAACAATACCAACAACATATGTGTCTGTGCAGGCCAGTTTGAGCACAGGGTGGACATCACAAAAGTAGTGGTCAATCTCATTGGGTCCACAAAAGGGGAGCTGGACCACCAAAGCCATCTCAATCACAGAGTGCAAGAACCCACCTACCCAGGTCCCCAGCAACATTTTATTGCATCTGTCCTGGTCCATGATAGTCAAATAGTGTAGAGGTTTACAGATGGCCACATACCGATCATAGGCCATTAGGATAAGGATGAAGACCTCAGTGGAACCAAAGAAATGTGCCCCAAAGAGTTGCAACATGCACCCTGGGTAGGAAATAGTTTTTCTTTTGGCTAAGAGGTCAACAATCATCTTTGGAGCTATAACTGAGGAGTAACAGATGTCCACAAAAGACAAATAGTTGAGAAAGAAATACATAGGAGACTTGAGAAGGTTGCCCATGTGCGCTGTCAGCGTGATGAGAAGGTTTCCCAGAAGACTAGCCATGTAGAAGAAAGAAAACACCACAAAACAAACTTCTTCCACCTCTGGGTTCTGAGAAAGACCCAAGAAAATGAATACAGTTACATTGCTTGTTTTTTCCATGGAATTAATCCAGGAGACCAAGTTCCTGAGACAATTGAATTGTCTGGGAAAAAAAAAAAAAAAAAAAGATTAAAAAAAAAAAATCCACAGCATTATTTCTTTGCAGAGATAACTAGATAATTGCAATATTTGAAAATGGAACACAGGTGCTTACTGCTGTTAAGCATGCCTAGTTAGAGAACTGAAGTCTGTTCTGACCATCAGCCTTCATTCAACAATCCATTCATCTACTTCAGATGAGGAAACAAAGTCCAGCGAAATCAAGAAACTCCCCTGAAACAGCGATTAAGCCAAGAGTTCCATCACTCTTACCATTTTTAAAATCCGTTTACTGGTTTATATGTTTCCTTGGTTTTTATTTTTTACGTGTACAAAACCTGATTTTGAAAGAACTTCTGTGTTTGTGATTACTGGGCTGTGCAAACAGTTAACATGCTCAGCTATTAACCAAAACAAGATTAAATTCCACTCAGAAACACTTTGGAAGAAACACCTGATAATCTACTTTTAAAAAACCTGCTATTAAAAACACTTAACAGTGTAAAGTATCTGTCTTCAACATGATGCTCTTTTAAGAACTATGATATCAAACTGACAAAACAGCACCTCAAAAGATTAGATAGGAACCCTAGGGGGCAGTGACTTGTGTTAATGGGGGAAGAACAACTCATAAAAGGAGGGTGACAATACTTGTTGCACAATTCTAAAAAAGTAAGCAATGTCACTGAGTTGAACATATTGAAAGTGTTGAATTAATGTATGTTTTACTGTGCATATTCTCAATAACAATAATGAAATAAAACAGGATTAAAGCAAAACAAAAGAGGTCTATAGAGCACAGTTACACTCTGACACACATGGGGTCACCATAAGGTGGAATCCCCTGTAGAGCAACTGGTTTGTCTGTGTTTGAGGAGCGAGTAGCATTTGTATATCTGGAGAAGTTCACCTCTTTTGACACACAAATGAAGACATAAGGCTACAATTTCCTTTCTGATCTTGGGCATACCTGTACTTGACATTCATCAGTGAGCTTCAGACAGTGAGGTTTTAAATATACAACTTTCTCTTGTTCAAGGGCGTCATGTATAGAGCTGCACCTGGGTCTGGGAGTGATCTGAGTTTGAATACAACGTCCTTCTGCTGAATGGTATGCACATAACTGCATCTGAGTCCAGAAGTGATGTATGTTTTGTCAAGACGTGTTGTCTCAGGCTAATACTGAGAAACAAGAAAAAATATTGTGAGTGACCTTTCAGGCCATCAGGAAAAAAAGTCTTCTTTCAGTGGAAACAGAACGCTTGGACTCATGTTAGAAGCCGGGAGTCAGTCCCCAGGAACCACCCCGTACACCGACCCTTAGTCAATGCCCTCATGCTGAGCACTCTTTGTTTCTTTAGTTTCCAGGCCCACTAAAAACCCTCCACTGCCTGTCCCCTGGTAGCATATTGTCTAAGACCCTTGCCTGCTAACCAGACAGCTGGTGGTTCAACCCACCAGCCACTCCTCGGAAGGAAGGTTGGGCAATCCTACTTCTGTAGTGATACTGCCTTGGAAACCCAAGGAGGGGTCGCTATGAGTCAGGTTTGACTCGATGGCAAACAACAACAACAACAACAACATGTCCCCTATGAGCTCTCTTGGAAGGAAATTAGCCTACCTCTTCCTTTCTTTCAGCTAAAGAAATAAAAGTGCCTTTTGCCAACCTCCATTCAGCCTGTGATTTGAGTGCATACACAGTGGTGCTGAGCACCCTGGAGTTTATGCAGAAACCTCCTTGAGGAGCCAGCGTGGAGCCCCACTGAGTGAGTGTCAGAGGGACTAGGCAGGGAGATCTCTGTGGATGATGTAGTGCTCACCGAGGTACCTTTCTCCTTCAGATGCTCAGGTGTACTTGGGGGCCTACCACCTCAGCCTTAACAGGGACTCCCACAAGAAGTTGAAACACGTTGTGGTTTAGGTGAATGACAACTTGAAGTATTGGTAAGTAAATGCTAGGTTTAGGGAATTTCCACCATCGATGCAGCAGTAAGTTGACTGGTATTTTGTTTGGGAACTCATTCCCCAACAAGGCAAACTTAGGTCAACTTAAATTTTCTTTTTTGCTAGGGGATTTCCTTTTAGGCATAAGGCACATTTTGTTACTTGGCAATGCCATGGGCAATTCTGGAAGTTCTGAGACGTGCACAGCACTGGAATTCATTCTTGGTAATGGGCGTAAGATCGGTCATTAGCCTATGGGAAAAAAACAAGTTGGTCCTTCAGCCCTTTTCTGTAATGTGGCATGGCTGCAGTGCAGGTTAAATGATGATGAAGTGTTGTCCTCTGGTGGAGTTTTGAGGTATAGCACCATCCTAGAGCTGAACTTCTTGTGTACTACGATGGGGAAATGGAAAGACAAATATTATGTGGAAGATTTTACGATGTTGTATAGAGATAAAGAAACTCAAGAAAAGTGTATAATGAGTAGAATCCAACTCTCGGCGACTCCTCGTTGGGTTTCCAAGGCGGTTTCTCTGAGGAAGTAGATTGCCCAGTCTTCCACCCAAGGAATGGCTGCTGGGTTTGAATCGCTAGCCTTCTAGCAATCAAATGCCTTAGGCACTACACCACCAGAGCTCCCACAGAGATAAAGAAAGTCAAGAAAAGTGTATAATGTGTGTTTAGACTTCAAGAAAGGATACAAAGAAACTTCAGGTTTTAGACCAACCTTCCCAAGGTTTGTTACACTATGCTAAAGCTTTTTCCCAGCAACCAACCTTCAACCTGCTGGTGGTAGCAGCCTCAACTGCCCACCCCCTAAGCCCACCACTGCCACTGTCCCCTTATCCACCATCTCCATTCTATCATCAAAAATCCGTTCGAAGTCCTTGGTTATACTTTCCTTTACCAGGTTCAGGTTTTTACCCCTGAAAATAGGTACGGATGACCAGTTACCCTTCTTTCAGTTTCTCCCACACTTACTTGGAGTGGAGAGAGCTAAGTCCCTAGTTCTACCCAATATGAGCTGGAATGTGAGCAAAGCCAGTAGCAAGGACAATTTCCACTTAGGTAGATATAGGCCGGATACTGACGGTTCAAACCCACCAGCCACTCCTCGGACGGAAGATTGGGCGATCCTACTTCCGTAGTGATACTGCCTCGGAAACCCAAGGAGGGGTCGCTATGAGTCGGGGACTTTCACTTAGGTAGACAAGCAAAAAAGAGAGCCATGGCACATAACAACAACAACAAGGCTGGATACGCACGCATGGTATTGGAATGTGCTCCATTTAGTATTGTTATGTTGTTGTTATGTGCCGTCGAGTCAGCCCTGACTAACGATCCAAATACAGACCAAACGATGTTAGTCAGTGAGGACAATTGGTCTATTATCGAGACTGTTTGCCAGTGAGACTTCAACAAGGTATTCCCAAGCATTAGTTTCAGTAAAGTATATGAAATCAAACAAAAACTGGTGGAGGATGCTTACAACTTTTTAGAGAGATTACATGCTGCTTTGGGCAGTACAGACTGGGACTCAGTGGCTCCAGAAAATGCTAGAACTTGGGCAAAATGCATCTGATATCCAGAAAAAGATGCAAAAGGTAGAAGGTAACATCACCTTGTGTATATGTCATTTAGTAGAGATGTCTTTTATAGTTTACAATGGAAGAGAGAAAGAGAAGGGGACAATGTAAGAAAGAAACTCATCAAACAAAGCAGTAATCACAGATCTTTGCCACCACCCAGGCTCAAGTTTTATCTGCTGTCCTCCAAGAAGAGGGATTTGAGCTGGGAGCACAAAGAGAAGGAGGGCCACCAAGAGACCTATTCCTGGGCCCTACACCAAAGTTGTTTTAGTAAAGGATCAGTGTGCTTATTGTAAGGAAACAGTTGTTGTAGTTGTTATGTGCTGTCAAGTCGAACCCCACTCATAGCAACCCCTACTTGGGTTTCTGAGGCAGTATCACTACAGATGTATATTGCCCCATCTTCCTTCCAAGGAGTGGCTGGTGGGTTTGAACTGCCAGCCTTCTGGTTAGCAGTCAAGTGTCTTAGCTACTGTGCTACCAGAGCTCCCCATAGGGAAACAGGGCAGTGGAAATGAGTGTCCTAAATACTCAAGAAACAGGAACAGACAAGCAAAAAAGAGAGCCAGTATCCAGGTATTAAAGAAAGAGACGGAGATTCAGATTGAAGGAGACTGGAGGCAAGCCTTCCACCTAAGCCTCTGATTGTAATACACGTGGATGGAAAGCTCACTAAGTATTTTGTTGACACAAGAGCCACACATTCAGTTTTAACCTGAGAAGAAGGGAGGGCCTATTACGACCAAGAGTCCACAGTTACAGGAGTGTACAGTAAAGAAACACTTTTTTTTTGTTTCTTTTTTTAAGACTTTTGTCTTATTCAACCCTAGGGAAAAAGTTAACCCATTCCTTTTTGTATATGCCAAGTGTCCAGTGCCACTGCTTGGGGATCTCTTGTGCAAACTAGAGGGAGAAATTTCATTTCATCAGGGAAAAATGCACATGAGTGTGCCTACAGAAAAGGGCTGGCAAGCCCATCTTCTCCTGTTCAGATCAGCAGATGACCTCATTGCCTGCCATTCTGCGTGTTGAAGGATATCCATTTCCCAGTGATTGAAAGGACAGATCAGCCCTGAGGTTGGTCATGAGACTCCACGCACGCACACTGCCATCGAGTTGGATCCGACTCATAGCAACCCCTCCTTGGGCTTCTGAGGCAGTATCACTATGGGAGTAGCATGCCTAGCCTTCCTTCTGAGGAGTGGCTGGTGGGTTTGAACTGCCAGACTTCTGGTTAGCAGTGAAATGCCTTAGGCACTATGCCAAGTGATTCCAGGCTGAACATAAGAAGCCCTCCCAGTGGTTGTAGAATTGCTACCAGAAACTGAGCATCCTCTGATTAAACAATACCCCCTAAAAAGGGAGGCACAGAATATAAAACAAAGCTTAATCCAAAGAAATGTAGATTTCAGTCTCCTCAGATGTTCT